GATTTCGTCAACTTAGTGAGTTTGATAGGGGCCGTATAGTGGGACTTCGGGAAGCTGGACTTTCTTTTCGGGCAATTGCAGTTAGAGTGCAAAGAAGTGTAGACACTGAAGGTTAGGTGTTGTCAGACATGGCTTCGAGAAGGCCGTACGCAAAGAGCAAGGGGCACTGGACGCCGCCGTAGAACAACAGACCGTGAAGATCGCCGCCTAAGATTATTGGCCTTAAGGGACCGTTTCTCCACTACCAGGTCCATTGCAAATGAATGGTTTGCAGAACACGGAAGACCTATTGGCATGCAAAGTGTTTACCGACGAATGAGAAGTTTTAGCTTGTTTTCATACCGGCCACACTGGGTCCTCCCTTTAACTCGAGAACACCGACGTAATCGCCTTGAGTGGTGCAGACAACGGTCACTCTGGGATCAGGAATGGAACAGTATTGTCTTTAGTGACGAGTCTCGATTTTGTTTAGGCATGCACGATGGTCGTGCCAGGGTTAGAAGGCGACTTGGTGAAAGGAAGAATCCACAGTTTTTGTTGAAAGACACACACTGTTAGAGTTATGGTTTGGGGTGCTATAGGTTATGGTTCCAGGTCACCTTTAATCTTCATCAGAGGTAACATGAACGCGCAGCGTTATATCCACGAACTTCTAGAACCCCATCATTTACCCTATCTTGACACCCTGGCAGATCCAACTTTCCAACAAGATAATCCCCGACCGCATGTTGCAAGAGTCACAATAGACTTCTTTCAACATAATGATGTCACATTGTTACCATGGCCACCAAGATCTCCCGACTTATCCCCAATTGAGCACGTGTGGGATATGATGGGTAGGAGATTGCTCAATTTGCAACGTCCTCCTCAGACTCTAGAAGCACTTCGAGAGGAGTTGGTGGTTGCCTGGAATGAGATACCACAGGAGGACATTGACCACCTGATCAGAAGCATGCCTAGGCGCGTTGGAGAATGCGTAGCACATCAGGATGCATCCACACATTATTAAAGGTCAAAGGGCCTTAAAGCAGTGCAATCATTTTGAAATTTTTATCATTTACTTATTATGCTTCATTAAGTACTTATACAAAATTTTATTAAAATAAAACCATTTAAACTGGGTGTTCGGAGTTATATGTCACTTAGTATATATACGACAAATAGCATTTTCTGGGAAATATTGCGGTTTGATAACTAGGGGCTTTAGCTTTCCACACATTGTGGATAGCCCACCTGTCGTTCTGGTTTACTTGACACTGCGAAATCGCAGCAACCGCTATACGGATTCTTACAAAGCTTGGAATGGATTATTGTTTGGTCACAAGTCTGAAAATGGGTGTAAGGATGCTAAAAAAGTAGCCAGAAAAGAAATCAGAATATCCCAACTTTATGCTTACACCCTAAAAGCGTTTTCAGTGTAGATGAAAACAATCTTTTTGTTTTGCAAAAGTTCGTATTTATGTTTCACTAAAGGGTATAAAATAAAGTAAAAAAATGGAACACAGCTATTTTCTCGCAACATTCTTGAACAATCTACAACCGATGTTGGAACAAGGAATTCATACTTTTGGGTATACCATGAAACGCCATAAAAATATAAAATTCAAAATGTTGAATGGATATTCTCCGATAATTACACCAGAACCACAGCTGTCTAATAAAAAAAACTAACAACTTTTTAGGAGAGCAAAAAGAACCGTTGCTCTTTGGATTCGCTACCGAATGTCATGCAATATGCTTATACTGATAACGTTTCGGCAATCACGGTGGCCTTTTTCAATTAAATGCATATCTTAACTTTTTTAGTTCTATATCTCAATTCCAAATGTGTTGGAATAACAATTCTCGCATTTACATCATTAGAGGGGCTTCGAAATCTCAGTACCCCAGTCCTTGCTTGTTTTGAGACACGTGAAACACTTCTGACAGTGTTCTGCGGTGCCACTCATTATCTGGATGTTTACATTCCTCCTCACTACTATATCACCGATACCACAGCTAAAAGCTGTTTTAACGACGGAGTGACGCTTCTCTTCCATAGTTTATATTATTTCGACATTACCCAGATGCTTTATCAACCACCTTAGGTGCTAACTCAACGTTGCAATCCGGTGGTTTTTGGAGACCAAAAAATATAAAAGGTTTGCGCAAGTTGGTAAAATACTTTATACGTATGGCACGCCACTGCACGAAAGTGTATGGTTGATTAATAATATAATAATGACACACGACCTACTAGGCGTCTGCCCCATGGTCCAGTGTACAAAATATCCTAAAAGAATATAGTCTAGAATGATTCACATGACGACCCCGCTTTTAACAAGTGAATGATGTAATCCTCAGACGAGATTTAAAGAGTTTGTGATGACTCATCTCACCGGACCAACGACGTTTACGTTGCCGAGTTCAATAACAATTCAAGTTAATTGAAAATAAACATGTATCTCGCTAGGAAAATCGCAGAAGACAATGTTTCTGTTCCTAAGATGCAAAGTTATCATTCTTTCCATATACCTACTTTGTGACTCAGCACAAAGTAAATACTTATGTCAATATCTTTTCAAAGGGCACGAAATATGCATCGTACAAACGAATTTGAACAAATCATCCTTAAAATTTGATACACATATCGAGAGCCATGTAATAGCAAAATGAGAAGCAAGATGACACAGTGCTTATGGATCTGTGATAGATTTTTTTGAACATTTGGAGCCCTAACACTTTATCACCATCAAAGTATTGAAGCTGATGGCTGGTGCCCTTCAGTTCCAAAGCATCCCAATTCCCAAGCTTTGAACATGTAAATTATCTACTGCTTTGCAAATTTTGAGATTAATAAGTAAATGGTTCAATGGTTCACCTAAAAATTGACAAATATGCTCCGAACATGATCATCAATAATTTTGTATGGTTGGGCCCAAACCAGTGATGCTAAAGGTATACTGTAATGTTACCAATACTATTATACAATTCAAGCATCAGCGAAAAATCAACGCTGTCCCAGGTCGGTCGTACGCGTGTGTTCCGACCTTCTGTCTGTGCTCTGCTTTATGAAAACACAAGTCGTTGATTGGGCAGCACCAAGCCAGTGTTGCCATTTAAATTTACACTCCCTAAGATTGACTGATGCATGGTGAGATTAAGAATAACAAATTGGAGCTTGGAAGCCTGTGAGGAACTGTGTAATGGATAATTTTGCAAGCAGACACAAGAATTTAGAATTTTTAGCTGTGTTTATTTTTATGGAACATTTGTTTAGCAGCGAGGGCAAATTCCTTCGAGTACATTAGAACACGAAAGTGCCGTCAACATGATAATTATTTCAAGTCGTGTTCTGTAATTCTCCATTAACATTCTGCCGCCGTCGCCGACGTTATCAAGTGAACCGCGAATAGGTCATCCTCGATACTCTTTTGTTATGTACACCTGTCCTGTTATACCGCGTTTATTTTGAAACCGATACTGCTAGGATTGACATCATCGATTATTCATTTCATTTTGTTGACACACGTACACTCCCGTATCAGTTTAGGTGCGAGTATTGAACATTTACCTCAATTGCAGATTCTTCATGAAGCTGTCCAGGTCGATTTTGTCCAAAAGGACAAAATCGCCGACACCGACCTCTCGTTGCATAGCCATGGTGTATTCCTGAAAAAACTTAACGGAAGCCCGTTCAATAACACGACATTTCACACGAATCTAAACAAAAAACCGTTGTATTTTTGACAGGGCGGTATAACGAGTTTTCTTAAAAGTGAAGAAACGACGACAACCTGCCCTCCGACACCTTACCTCACGGACTGATTGAACAGAGAAAAAGGATGAAAAAGATACTCAAATAACCTCATGAACTGCGTTATGATTGGTTGGTTCCCAACGGATAATCCCACCTACTCTACATGCTATGTATGTTGCATAAGTTAAGTCAATGAGCCAATGTTAGGAATAAGATGGGCATCAAAAATGAATCGTCAATCTAAAGATTCGTATTGTGCAACCTGCTGTTTTGACTTAAAAATCCAGCGTTCAACAAGTACAATGAATACAAGTAATATCACGTGTATCTAACTACACTTCTTCCTCCAAGCAAGTCGTCCAAGTTGACTACCGTTATCATGCAGTTCCCTAGACATGTGGTACGCTTTTGAAACTACCCAACGAAATCTACTTAAAACGCAAAAGCGAACGAGATTGCACAAATATCATGTATAAGTTTGATAAGATACCTCTGATAGACTCATTGATCGCGGTAGATGGGTGGAGGCATTGATTAACGTTCTCTGTCCGAGATGAATTGAGATACCCTGTAGTGCCATCTATGAGAATTTGTCACAGCTATTTTTCACCTCTTCGCAGTATTTGGAAAAAGTTCGTGTCTCATAGATGGCGCTGCAGTCCAACTAATCTTTCAAAGTAGATTTCTAATTATTATGAGAAGTGATTAGTTGAGTGATTCTAAAGCAATATAAACATAGATTCGATCATGCAGTGCTTCAAGGTAAAGGGGTCGTCTTTTATAGAAATATCGGTTGTCCGTACGAATTTGAAAAATGTACGATTACGATTTATATATGACCATGAAACTTGAGGTTATTATAGAACGTTGATAAATCCATTTTTGTTGAATTTCTGATGATTCATCTCTACCTGCTAAATTGAAAAAAAAACAGTTACACAGAGAATTACATATAGTTAAAATTATATTTAGTAAATATAAAATGCATGCGGTGTATACGCATTGCTGCTAATGCTTTTAGTCTTTTCACCCTTCTCCTTTGTAAGTTTTAAAAAGGCTTAGACGGTTTTAAATGATTCTGAATTTCAGGGTATTCAAGATCCATGAATCGGTGGTATTCCTAATTTTTACACTTGACAGAAAGTTCGAGTCGACCAATCGATCTAGGTGACGTCATCTTTCTCCACCATTATGGTAAACAACTGAATCTCTTAAACGAATCATTGACCGGATTCAGACTACTCACCACTAGTCACATACTGTCATCGTGACAACACATGTCAATGTCAAATATCCAAAAGGAGGTTAGGACGTAAACATAAACTCCTAAATATTTTGATTTTCAGTCCATTTACCATTTAATTCTTATTATTGGCAATTTTGAAAATCAACACTTGCCTGTGTCAAAATGAGTTTCGATAATGTTAAACCTATACTCGGCGCCATCACGATTACAGAAGCTAATATACAAACCGGTATCGTATACAAAAACAAAAAGATGATCGACAACGTTAATCTTTGGCATAAATTTATTGTAAGTATAAATTATAGTGCTTTACAGTGCTAGTATTCTAACTCTCGGTATATACAGTTTTTCTTTGATCGAAGTGAAATAATGAACCAGCTCCAGCGATGAGATGTACCTGTACACGTGCGAGATATAAACAATACACAACATATCAAGGAATTAACTACAAGGGTCCCAGTGATCTGGGAAACGACAGTAGTGAAGTTATTTATGTAGGAAACCATTCAAATTGTATATAGACATTAAGCACTACAGTGTACATTCCTTCCCATGTTCTCTGAATGCTCACATTTATTACTGAAAATATAGAGTTTTTAAATAACCTAGTGCATGCATAATTCTTCATTTACAGATCCACAACCCCAGCAATCTGAGTAGGAATGATCTACTGACGGCAGTCCTGGATCATGTTTTTCCATTTGACTTAATACCAGTCTCATATGGAAAAGATAATAACAATTCTAATTACTTTTTGGCCAGAAACTGTGCTGCAGCCATACAGAAGCTGTGTAAGGACCATTTGATTGTGCCAAATCCTTATAATCGATCTCAACCTGTAAGTAACGTTGGTAATATTATGTGACATACATAAGTACTGCTATTTTTTGAAATTATTTCTCCGGACTGGAACACTGGTTTCTGACATTGCTTACATTGATATGACAGTTGTTTTTGATAACCATATATCTTATGTAATATTTTTAAAATAGATACAACTTTCATTATTTTGAATAAATCACCCTGTATATTATCTATTTTTGGATTCTATGCGAGATTCAGAATACATTTTATGTATATCATGATATACGTAAGTCTAATTGTTTTTGAGATATTTCAAACTTTGCATAAGAATCCACAAATACAGGCCATTGAGTTTCAACCATTTCTTTTCTTGTATTTTTTCCTGTGCCATATGATTTGTAGTATGTTTCTGGCAGCAGGAGACCTTCTTTAATAGACCTTATTTCAGATTCAGATAAATAGTATAGGATGGTAACAGTTAGAGTGAAACTTGGATATTAAAAAATCCAAATAGTAAATTTTTTTCAAATAGTAACCACCTCTTTATGATGAAATCCTTTGAATTTAAGTAGTATAAGTTCCTTTTGCCGCTAATAATATTTTTACAGTGGACAATTCTGTTGATGAATTTTAGCTGAGAATGGAGATAATTTTGAGATACACAACAACAACACTGTTTAAAGTAGACGTGCAAAAAAATATATCTGCTGTGCTAGAGAAACGGTTTGATCCAACGAGACGGTGTTTGGATCTGACCCGGTTTCAGGATGATCCAGGTATTAGCTTTTACCTTTAGTTAAATCGTTGAACCTGCTAGTTGATACATTTTAGATTTGACCGAGTTTTGCCCTCTGGGACAACCTAAAATAATGTTTTTTGTTCTACACTTATCGAAAAATTTGATTCCTGAGACATACATTCTCAGGGAGAATAAGATCAGATTATTACATTCATTCGATGCATTAAAAGTGTGTATAAGCAGTATCAGGAGCATAGATTTGGGAAATAATCAGGTAAGAACTGGTGACGTATAATTATCATGTACTGTGAACTGCACAATATTGTATTGTATTGATATCAGTCTATCACCGATTTTAATATAAATTTCTATTTTAGATTAAGGATCATAGTCTGTTGTCACCATTGGTATTATATAAATTACACCATTTGGTATTAGATGGTAATCCGCTATGTGAAGAATACAGTTCTAATCCTACACAGTATATGCGGGACATATTAAATATGTTTCCTCATCTGGAAACCTTGGTAAGGTTTTTATTTAAATGGTTTCACGAAAGTCGGATCAAAGGTCTTCACAGCTCAACAGCCACTTTGGTGCTGGAAAAGCAAGAACTGAATTTGAGTATTTTTGATTATATGCACCTTTTCAAATATCAAATCGCTTATATCTAGAAAAAAAAGGAAAGAAATCTTTGACATCATCCCATCAGAATATTCAAAATCAGTTGTTACTTCTACCACACCACAAATTTTTGTCATTTCGTTGGGCTGAATAGTGGGATGTGTAAAGTTATACAGCTAAGTACCAGAATAGATGAAAATGACTCTGTTGTTCATGACAGGTTTTCTCATTAGTCAAATTACTGCGTTCTTTGAATGTATGTATGCTATCAAGCCTTTCATGCGAACCATACATGTATAAGCAATAAATATATTTATCTCATTTTTGAAAATAGAACTATCCTCATTTTTATGGAACTTATCGGTATACGAGGGTGGTCCCAAAAGTACCCGGCTTGACCTAGACATGGCGATAGTTGTTTGAAAAATATCATTGTATTAGAAAGTATGCAACCTATAAAGCATATGTGTCAAGTTTGAATTGTTTGGCAGCCATCAATAGTGAACGTTTTCAGTGAATTTGTGAAAATTGGTCATCGTTATGTGGTACAATACTTTTATTTCAAAGGCGTCAGCCCAACCAATATAAAAGTTCTACTCTGGGTGAGTCTGCTCCTTCGTTTACAACAGTAAAATATTGGGTAGCAGCGTTTTAAACGATACCGTATGAGCTGCCAAGACGAGCATCGCAGCGGCCGACCGAATGAGGTGACGACTCCAGAAATGGTGAAGAAAATTCACAAAGCGGTACTGAATGATCGTCGACTGAAAGTGCGCGCGTTAGCAGACATAGTAGGCATTTCAAAAAGTTCGGTTCATCGCATATTAACTGAAAATTTGGACATGACAATGCTGTGTCTATGATGGGTGCCGCCATTGCTCACAATCGAGCAAAAACAGTGTCGTGAAGATGTTTCAATTGAGTGTTTAGCGAAGTTTCACAGCAACAAAGCAGAATGTTTGCGTCGTTTCATAACCATGGGTGAAACATGGGTCCATCACTTCACACCCGAGAAAAAGAACAATCAAAACAATGGATTCAAAAGGGACAACCGGCTCTAAAGAAGGCGAAGACCGTTTCATTTGTAGGCAAGGTTATGGCGTCGGTTTTTTTTGGGATGCGCGTGGGATAATTTTCATTGACTATATTGAAAAAGGTAAAACTATCAACGGCGAATATTTTGCGAACTCATTGCAACGTTTGAGCCATGAAATCAAGCAAAAACGGCCGCATTTGGTTAAGAATAAAGTGTTGTTTCATCAAGGCAATGCACCAGCTCACAAATCCGTAATTGCAACGGCCAAAATTAACGAATTAGTTTGAATTGCTACCTCATGCACGATGTTCACCAGATTTAACCTGCTCGCATTATTTTCTGTTTCCAAACTTGAAAAAATGGCTCAGTGGTCAAAGATTTTCCAACGATGAAGAAGTGATGTCGGCAGTTAATGGCTATTTGGAGGAGCAAAACAGTTCTTATTATAAAAAGGGTATCGAATTTATTGAACATCGCTGGGAAAAGTGTATAGAGCTCATCTCGAAAAATAAATACATTTTTTTACAAAATTGTTGTTTTCTCCGTTGGGTCGGTACTTCTGAGACCACCCTCGTAATACCTCGAAAATGTTGCTACTTATCGCGATTATCCTGCGATGACTTTGTTTGTCATAATAAGAGAAACAAAAATTATGACTTACACTTTGTTACAATGCCAAATTACATATTGCATTTTGTTTTATTTTCAGGATGGCGTTCCTTTAAAAGTGAACGATCTGTCAGCCACGAGGCCCAACTTTTTATGCAGTTTAGAAGGTCTAGATCTAATAAATCAATTTCTGGAGCATTATTTTACGTTGTACGACTCACAAAATAGAGGGGCGATACAGAATCTGTATCATCCGCATGCGATGTTTTCCATGAATAGCACCTTTCACTCAAATCAGGCGAGTTTGGCAGCCTACAAATATATGTATGTCATTATATTAAATTGAAGACTACTTGAAATTTCTCGCAATATCTGTCGTTTTTATTTAATTTTTGCACTATTGAGAATTGCGGTTTTATTTTCGCGATGTTTTGAACTTTATATTCATATACCTTCATACCTCATTCGATCTTTTTTTTCCAGCAATCGGTACAAGTCAATAAGCAGAAATTTAAAAATGCTAGCAGATTTTTCTAAGAGCTCTGAATTTTTGTTCACGAGGCCAGCAGAGATAACTAAGGCACTGTGCAGTTTACCACCAACTGAACACGATCCGCTTTCGTTCAAGATTGATCTAGTATATCACACTGTAAGTACGAACCTAAATATATGCAAACAAGGTGGTACAGTGAAATTTTCTTTGGACGGACACCAACGGAATCGACTGTAAGTGTAATACAACCAAAATCGTGTCCCCATTGTTAATGCCCTTACAACAGCATCAAACCATCACTGGTTCGCAACTGCCCTTGTTATGAAAAATCGATCTCTAAGTGCTAGTTGCCTCATATAACGATCTTTGACGTCCAATAGCTCTAACTTGTCGATTTCGTCCTTTTAAAGTAAAGGCTTAACTGTTGACGCAACTGCTACAAAAACAGAGTCACTTCGTCTTTTATAACAAAGAAAAACGGGGTCACATTGTGGAAGAAGCAATAGATATTGCTAAAAATCGGAAGACTACCATAAAAGGTTGTCCAAAACGGACGCAGGAAAGTAAACGCATATTAAAACAAGAAAGATTGATATGCAAATCAAGTTGGGTACTTTATTTTGAAGGTTCATTTATACCATTTATGTATGAAAAATAATATCGCTCAAATGTTCACCACGACTGGATTTACAGACGTCCACGCGATGGTCGAAATTTTCAATGACATTTTGCAACATGGTCGGTTCTATGGCATTTATCTCGGCAATGATGTTGTTTTTGAGTTCTTGGAGGGTGGCTGATTTGTTGACGTAGACTTTGCTTTTCAAATATCCCCATAAAAAGAAGTCCAAGGGAGTCAAATCGCACGATCTTGGTGGCCATGGCACATTTCCTCTGCGCGAAATCACGCGATCACCGAAGAAGGACTGCAATCGATGGATATCGACGTTGGTTGTGTGGCATGTTGCACCGTCTTGTGGAAATAACATCGTCCATATCCATTCCTTCAAGTTGCGGCAAAAAATAGTCCTCTATCATCACGTGATATCGCTCAGAATTGACGGTAACGGCGTCCCCGGCCGCATTTTCCGAAAAAGTAAGGTCCGATGATGCCTTTTGACCACAATGCTCACCACACAATCACTTTTTGAGGTTGCATCGGCTGCTCTTGATACGCAAGGGGATTTTCGTTCGCCCAGATGCGGTAGTTTTGCTTGTTTACCGTCCCATTCAAAGTGAAATGCGCTTCGTCGCTGAACATGATTTTTGATGAAAATTTGGCATCAATTTGGCGGTGTTCAAGGAGCCAATCTGAGAACGTTCGGCGCGAAAAATGGTCGGCCCGACGCAGCTCTTGCGTCAATTGGATCTTGTAGGGCGTGTACATTCAAATCCTTGTGGAGAATGCGGAGCAAACTGGTTCTCGAAATGCCCAATTCTTGGGATCGACGCGTTGTTGATTGTTTCGGATTGTCTCTCACACTCTCCTTCACAACAGCAATATTTCCGGTGTGCGAACGCTCCTTGGCCGGCCAGGCCTGGCAGATTTGCCACAGAACCTGTTGCCTCAAATTTACGCACCAAACAACCGATGGTTGTTTCGTTTGGGCGGTTGTTGCGACCGAATGTTCACGAAGCGCGCGAAACAGTGTTTTTTATTTTTGCACCATTTTTGTAGTGCTCTTGAATAACTTTGATGTGGTCTTCAATCGAATACGACTCCATAGCGATCAATGGTAAACATTCAATAACAAAATGACATGTCGGTGACAGAAAACAAAGATGGCGTCTATGTCAAATTGACGTTTACTTTCCTGCGTCCCTATTGGACAACCCTTTATTTCAACAGAAGACGGCTTCGTAGTAAAATACGGGTAGTTGGTGAGATGGCCAGTGATGCAGGACTCACGCTGAAAGAAGGACTTCAAAAAGATATGTTGGAATGTGTTAACCGATTCAGAGTTGATCTCGAG